TATATATATATATATATATGAAGATGGAAAACTATCGCTCGGCATGTACTAGTAAACCAACAACTCGGGTATAGACAACTGCCATAACCTAGTAGTCATAAGTCACAAGCTCTAAAGAATTGTTCTAACTGTCTCTATACATCAGTAACTAGGAAAAATAAAGAAGAACTATCATAAAAGGATAGAGGGAGACTCAGAGGTCTGCGGACGCTGGCAGATATACCTTGAAGTCTCCGTAGAAGCAACACGTACTCTCTACTAATAGCGGGGCTGGTAGGAGGTATCTGGGTTTGCACACAAAACATGTGCATGAGAGAAGCATGAGTATACCACAACGGTACCCAGTAAGTGCCAAGCCTAACCTCAGTAGAGTAGTGACGAGGTCAGGTCAGGGCCCTACTGGAATATAATAATTAAGGCAGAAGATATAGTAATATAATGAAAGACTGAGAATTTAACAACGAGAAATACAGAAAGAGGAAACTATACAGCAAATAGGGGTAAACAACAGGGGCACTCCCGAGGTACCGCCTTGTAGTCCCAAAAGTAAATACTCAACAGGGGATCTTCCGAGGTACCGCCTAATAGTCCCAAAAGTAAATATGCAACGGGGGATCTCCCGAGGTACCTCCTCGTAGTCCCAAAAGTAAATATGCAACAGGGGATCTCCCGAGGTATCACCTCATAGTTCCATAATTAAATATGCAACAAGGGATCTCCCGAGGTACCGCCTCATAGTCCCAAAAGTAAATATGCAACGGGGGATCTCCCGAGGTACCGCCTCATAGTCCCAAAAGTAAACACACAACTCAAAACCGATGGAACATCTAATTCACAACAAGAAATCCTACAGTTAACGACTAAATACAAAATCAAGGAAAAACATGAATTCAACTAAGAATGCTGCACAAATTTCAATTAAGCATTTAAGACACGTAGACATACGATGTTAGGCTAAACATGCTAACTACCATGCCGGGATAACTCATTTAAGATATAACAAGTTACTGTTTAGTAAAAACCAGAGTTTCAACAAATAGCCCGTGTACGCACTCGTCACCTCGCGTACACGACACTCACATAACACAGAATTGTCACAACAGTACCAAATCCTAAGGGGATTTTTCTCACACAAGGTTAGGCAAGTCACTTACCTCAAGCCAAGCTCAATCAGTCAATAAGAATGCCTTTTCCTCGACTTTTTGACTCTGAATGACCCAAATCTAGCGAAAAATAATTACATACTATAAATATAACTACAAGAAACTAATCTAATTAATGAAATCAAATCTTTAACAAGAAATTAGAAAATCGCCCCAAAAGGTCGACCCTGGCCCACGCCTCAGAATCAAGTAAAAGTCACAAAATAAGAACACCCAATCAACCACGAGTTCACCCATACCAAAATTATACAAATCTGATACCAAAACCTCAATCAAAACCCCAAAATTCGGTTTAAGAACTTTTCAACTTTTCTCCTAAATTTCTCAACCCAAAAGTTGAAAAGTTCGGACGTGCAGATATTAATCAAAAACAAGTCAAGAATCCTTACCCAAATGTTTCCTCTGAAAATTCCTCAAATTTTTGCCTCAATCCGAGCTCTGAAAGTCCCAAAATGAAAATGAGATCAAACCCTCAAACTTGCTCCTTTTCTACCTAGCGATTTCGCTTCTGCGGGCTTCCAGTTGCATCTGTGACGTTGCACCAGCAAAATTTCCATCGCAGGTGCAGATTCCTCTTAGGGCCAAAATTTCGCTTTTGTGGGCTTCTGTGTAGAACATTCCGCTTCTGCGACCATAGCCCATGTTGCCTTATCCGCTTCTGCAATCACACCATCGCATATGCGGACGTGCAGATGCGTCTCTTCCTTCGCACCTGCGATCTCAACTGGTCTGACCCACTCACGCTTTTGCGGCTCAAGGGCCGCTTTTGCGGCGCGGTACTTGCGATGGGGACTCCGCAGGTGCGATTACACCAGCTGATACCCAACTTCAGCAATTCATTCAACTCCAAAATTGGTCTGTTAACCTCCCGGAATCCACCCGAGGCCCCCGGGACCACAACCAAATATACCAACAAGTCCTCAAATATCCTGCGAACTTAGTCGAGCCTTCAAATCATATCGAACAATGCTAAAAACATGAATCGCACCCCAATTCAAGCTTAATGAACTTTAAAACTTCAAACTTCTACAACTGATGCTGAAACATATCAAATCACGTTCGATTGATCTCAAATTTTGCACACAAGTCATAATTGACGTTACGGACCTACTCCAACTTTCGGAATCGAAATCCGACCCCGATATCAAAAAGTCCACTCCCCGTCAAACTTCCCAAAATCCAACTTTCGCCATTTCAAGCCTAATTCAACTACGGACTTCCAAATCACAATCCGGACATGCTCCTAAATCCAAAATCACCCAACGGAGCTAATGGAACCGACAAAACTCCATTCTGGAGTCGTCTTCACACAATTCCAACTACGGTCAAATTTCTAGAACTTAAGCTTCCATTTTAGGGACTAAGTGTCCCATTTCACTCCGAAACCAAAAACAAATCCTCCCGGCAAGTCATATAAGCATAAAATGAAACAAAAGAAACAATAGACAGGGGATCGGAGCTAATACTCTCAAAACGACCAGCCAGATCGTTACAAAATTATTGTGTTAGGAACGTTCATGAGAGGTGTTAATTACTTCATCAGATAATTGTCCCTAAACCTTACTGATTATATACAAATAAAACTATCACGGGTAGGAAATATTGTGCTTTTGAATGTTTTTTGTGGGAGATAAATGGCGGCTAAAATTTTAGTAGTAGACAAAAGAACATTATATTCTGCATCCTATTAGGAGAGGTTTTACACTGGAAAAACAAGGAAATTATTCGTTTCTTGAAGAATCTCTCCGTACCCTTAGTAATTCAAGTTGTGGTTTAAAGAGATCCGCAAAAAAGGTGTAAAGCTCATAACATGTGATTTACATGAAATCCTCCAATAATATGAGATTTGACTAGGAGTTGGCAAGGTTCCCGGGTTCAATTATTTGGTACTTGCACATGTGATGACGACTGTGATATTTTATATTTTTATTTTGGACGGTTAGGTTAGTTGGCAATTGAATAGCCAGCCATTTTGGAGAAATATTTTGGCACTGAACCATGGTTCCTATCAGGGGCGGAGCTACAGCAGAGGGTGCGGGTTCGGACGAACCCAGTGACTTTTTTCGAGACCTTGTATTTGTATTAAAAAATTTACTATTTCTATATAAATATATCATGCCGAACCCAGTAACAAATGATGTTTGGGTTCAATGGTAAGAGTTCTGGGTTCGCACAGAGAACACGTGGGTTCGAATCCCGCTCGAAGCAGTGTGCTATTTTGTTGTTTTTTACAAAACAAAAAATATCAGAAAGTACAATTGTTTTTTACAAAATAAATATCAGAAAATACAAACTAAGGACAATGTAATTCTCGAACAACTACAAAAAGAATTTCAAAAAGCACAAACTACCGACAATGTAATTCTCAAACAACTCCAAAGGATACTTTTTGACTTACTTTAGACTAAAATTTATTCTTTTTAATACATAAAACATAAAGCATTTTCTCTTTCTAATAAACAATTCATTTTAAACAAAAACAGCCAAGTGCCAACACACCTTCTGTCTTTCTAATTCTCAAATCAAAAAGCTAGATTTCTTTGCCTGTCAGTCTTTTGATGATTTGATCGCTGCTACAACCCTCTGCCGGAGCCGGATGCCCTCAAACTCTCGTTGTGTATGCTCTTACAGTCTTACTCTCTTAGAAGTTAGACCCTTCTTTCTTCATTAATTCCTCTTTCCTGATTTTTTCTCTTCATGTTTTCCTCTTATATTTTATATTTGACAATTTATACAAAATCTGATTTTTAATCTTTGATTCTAGGGTTGTCCCACATTTTGAACTTCATTCTCTTTGTCAATTTGTGCTTTAGTACTTTCCAAAAGTTCAAACTTGGATTCTGCGACAAATCGACACACAAGGTATGTGGTCCTACTTTCCTGTTTTTAATTTCTTAGTGAGACCAACTTTTGGGTGTAATTTTGTTTTATAATTTTTAGGGTCTTGAAGTGTAATTTTGTTTTGTAATTTTTAGGGTCTTCTAGCAAAAGTCGATATGATCACGAGTTTTTACAAAGCTCAAGCTTCTGCATCTTCTTCTAGCTCTCCTTTGTCAAGTTCTCTATGTCCAGTTATTAGTAACAATATTAATCCTTCCCAAGCATCGGATAAAGTGCTGGATTATGAGCCCGATCCCGCTGAAAGAAAACCAATTTCAGCATATCCACCTAATTTACGTGACAGAGTAAGGAGAAATTATATACAAAATGGACCTTGTCAACCTCGTGGTTTTGTCTTTCCAAAAAGAGATTTTGGAGGAATAATGCGTCAGTTTAATCCTGAATGGTTTAAAACTTCATATTCTCAATGGTTAGAATATAGCATTAAACAAGATGCAGTATTTTGTTTATGTTGTTACTTGTTTAAAAATGAGATTGGAGGATATGGGGAAAAAATAGGTGATGCTTTCACAACAAATGGTCTTAGAGGTTGGAATAAAGGTTTAGAAAGGCTTAAATCACACGTGGGTGATGTGAATAGTCTTCATAATCGATGTTTCAAGATGATGCTAGATTTAATGAATCAAGCACAATCTATTCTAACATCTTTGGACAAGCAATCTGAGAAAATTAAAAGTGAACATCGAGTTCGCTTGAATGCTTCAATTGATATGATAAGGTATCTTTTGAAAGAAGGAATGCCTTTTCGGGGCCATGATGAAAGTGTAACTTCTACAAGAAGAGGCCATTTTTTAGATCTTTTAAAATGGTATGCAGATAGGAAGGAAGATGTGAAAAATGTGGTATTAGAAAAAGCTCCAAAAAATAACACCATGACTTCTCCTGATATTCAAAAAGATATTGTGAATTCTTGTGCAGAAGAAACAGCGAAAGCAATTATTGAAGACTCGAATGGGGATTTTTTTGGGATATTAGTTGATGAGTCTAAAGATGTCTCTCATAAGGAACAAATGGCTCTTGTGTTGCGGCTGCGCTATGTCAACAAAGATGGTAAACTTATTGAGCGATTCCTTGGTCTTGTTCATGTTAAAGATATAACTGCACATGCATTACAAAAAGCAATAAATTTTTTGCTTTTACAACATTCATTGAGTTCATCTTTAATACGGGGACAAGGGTATGATGGAGCTAGTAACATGCAAGGAGAAATTAATGGTCTTAAAGCTTTGATTCTTAAAGATAATCCTTCGGCATATTGCGTACATTGCTTTAATCATCAATTGCAATTGACCTTTGTAGCTGTTGCAAAGAAACACCATGATATAAATAATTTTTTTGATATTCTTGCTAATGTTCTGAATGTTGTTGGAGGTTCTTATAAGCATAGGGAGATGCTTATAGATGATCAAGCTGAAAAATTGGATGAGTTATTAGTGCTTGGTGAAGTTCATACAGGAAGTGGATTAAATCAAGAACTTGCGCTTCAAAGACCAGGTGATACCCGTTTGGGGATCTCACTTTAAGACATTGCGCAACTTTATATCTTTATTCTTATCAATTGTTCATGTACTTGGAGTTCTTGCAAATGAGGGTTCAAATTATCAGGAGAAAGCATTGGCAAAAAGTCTAGTGGAAGATATAAGATCTTATGAGTTTGTGCATGTATTACATTTGATGTTAAAAATAATGGCAATTACATATGATTTGAATATGTCTCTGCAAAGAAAAGATCAAGATATTGTTAATGCTATGAAACTTGTTCATTTCACAAAGAGGCAATTGCAAACAATGAGGGAATCTAAATGGAATTCTTTGTTAGAAGATGTCTCTTCGTTTTGTGATAAGAATGGTATTATGATCCCAAAAATGGATGAGAAGTATGGTCTTGGAAAGTCGAAGCGTAAAAGCTCAACTGTTACATATTCTCATCATTTGAATGTAGAAGTTTTTTGTGCCGCTATTGATTTGCAACTTTCGGAGCTTAACAATCGTTTTAGTGAAGTGAATACTGATTTGCTTCTTGGTATGGCTAGTTTGAGTCCCGATGATTCTTTTGAAAATTATGATAAAAACAAGATTATGAAACTTGCTACATATTATCAAAATGAGTTCATTGCTTCTAAGCTTGAAGATCTTAGTTTTGAGCTTGACAACTATATTGACTATGTTCGAGAAATGGACAATGCATTCTCTAACCTGAAAGGGCTTGGCGATCTCTCGAAGACATTGGTTAAAACAAATATTTACAAGACATGGGGACTTGTTTATTTGCTTGTGAAGCTAAGTTTGATATTACCCGTGGCTACTGCTGTATACGGTTAAAACCAATCCTCGATCATGAAGATCGATCGAGGATGGCATCTCAGTCAAGGGGTATCTTCATGGAGAACCCGAACGAATTCCGATACGGGGGCGTCGAGCTTGGGGCATCCGAATCGACCGAGGTAACATCGACCGATACAGGTCCCGAACATCGATGCCCGAAA